GGGAGCGCCGCCACACTCCCAAGCGCCGCACTCTACCGAGTGCGCCACCGGGCCGGCCCACAAAGCCGTAATTTTTAACCAAGGCTTTATGTCACAGTCACATGTGAGCATGTGGAAATATTCATTCACAGGTTCCTCACCCAGGGATATGATTCGGTAGATCTGGGATAGGGTCAATAATCAATATTTCAAGAACTTTCTTGGCTGATTCCGGCGTGTACCCTCATTCCTTCCAATGATACCACTATGGTAAAAGACTGTGTTGTAGCTAGGGACTGACCCTGGAAATATTTTTGAAAATCAACCTGTGGGTGTCTGATCATTCTTTGTTCAGATACCTGCCTTTCACTCTGCCCTGGTCCATTAGTTTCCTTGGCTGCTGTAACAAATGACCATGGACTTGATGTCTTAAACAAGAGAAATTTATTCTCTCACCATTTTGGAGGCCAGAAGTCTGAAGTCAGGGTGTCGACAGGATTGTTCAGCCTCTGGAGGGTTGGGGGGGAGGGTCTTTTCCTGGCCTCATCCACCTTGTGGTGGTTGCCAGCATCCCTTGGCGTATGCCCATGTCACCCTAATCTCCGCATCCCCTTCTATTGCCTTCTTGTCTTCTGCCTCTCTTCAGTCTCCCTCTGCCTCCTTCTTATGAAGACACTTGCGAATGCTTCAGGGGCACCTAGACACTCTCCCCACCTCTCGTTCTTTAACTCAATCCTATCTTTAAAGGTTTTGCCACATAAGGTAACATTCACAGGTTCCAGGGATTAGGTAGGACCTGGACATCTTTTAGGCTCCATTATTCAGCCTTCCACAGCAGGTTATTGCCTCGCTGTGTGATTCATATGGGCTGCTGTGGGCCATTAAGGTTGATTTGATACCTTTCTTCACTTATCCCCAGCTACCAGTCCATGGCCATAGGGAAATGGACAGCCCTCCATGACAGTGTTTACCCACAAGCCCTGCCTCTTGGGGCTAGGCCTGAGCTGTAGACCACACTCCGGTTTTAGCCATTCACATGGCAAACACCTTTGGTCATAAGTGGATTGGGAGTGTAGGATCAGTGCAACAAAAAACCCAACATCCTCACTGACAAAGACACTTCAAGCATGTGTCCTAGCAACAGCGGCTCCTGTTTAAAGCTCGTCTTTTAAGAATAGAACAGTACAGTGACCAGCATTATTTGTATCTGTTCTAAAAGAGGCACAAGCCCCTTTGAGCTCTGAAATTCCATTTCGTTGTTTCTCTTTCCATCAGAAAGGAGAAAAAGATACGTGCCAGTGCAGATACATTTTACAGAAGATGACGAGAACTTAAAGAGGCTTGAGAATTGAGGCTCTGATGAAGTTTGAGACAATGAATGTTCAGTGACATTAATTTGTGCTGTTGTTTAATCTTCTCTCATAGTGCTGATTAGTCACATATGGACGGGAGAGGCAGTGAGGCTCAGCAGGCTTATGCTAGTGGCTAGGTCAGCCCTACCCCCAACTCAACAGATACCCCAGCTGCCTTGACTTCAGGGATGGGACCAATCATAGGACCTCACCTCCTGGCCAAGCCACATGGAGCACTCCATGGGGAGGGTAGGTGGCCTAAACCACAACAACTGGAATCTGTCCCTGGGACTTTTCATGGTGGACCTGGGAGAAAGAACTGTTTGCTTTCTCTTGTTCAGAGACAAGGGTGTGTATAGGTGTTGGTTGTTGTGGACATGTTTCTTGTGTAGTAGAGAAATAAGGACTGGAGATATTTGGAGTAGAAAGAGAAGAAGAGTTGAGAGGACAGGGAGAGTTTTAAATGCCTGCATCCCTGAAGCCAGCTCCATCCATACCTTTTAATGATTTGGCTACATAAACTATTAGGTCCCCCTTACCCTTATGGTAGTTACACTTTAGTACTTGACATTTGAAACTAAAAGAAATCTTAACTAATACATGGGATATTGATGTAGATATGTCAGAGTAGGATTGGTCAAGAGTTATATAGTATCTCTTTTCAGGTACAACAGAAAGACAGTGGGACCAAGAAGTTGAAGATGTTAACAAGACTGGTTGAAGTGAAAGACCATCGTGTCTAGACTGCACAGGAAGGGACGTGATGACTGCTGGGATAGAGATAAAGAGGATCAAGGGAATTCATTTCTTAACTGGGCTAAGTGTGTGACAGGATAGGAAGTTGTGATGAGGGTGTTATGTAAGTGTTGGATACACTTGCAAAGCATCTTCCTTTTATTAAGAAAAATAATGGATCATCATAAAGCACTCCAAAGAATCAGGAAAATTCCTTTGTAATTTTG